CTGAACATTGTTGTATCCTTGAAAAACGGAAGTCTCTGAAACCCCGGTCGGATACCCGAAATGAGAGCAAAAAGACAAGGATACTCAAGTGATACCCTGCGTAGCACCTTTGGCGCCAGGTGCTGCACACCAACAGAACCTTTCTTCCGATACAGCTCTAGCGTCTAGACTATCTCTGATGAGGGACGTTCGCCTGTAATGCTCTGTCTAGGACCGACCCCAGATTGATTGTGGTGCTCTTGAGGCAGAAGGGCCGTGTGTTGTTAAGTCAGACCTTTTGATGAGTATATAATTCGAGCGTTATCACCCGCGGCCATTCATATTTATGTGCTTTTTCATAGTCTGGATAGAGTTGGGGGCAGGGTGCTCTGATTGTGCTCCGGCTTTGATCTCGGAGTTTCCAATCGTCAACAACGGCATCCCCCCGGAGGGACAAAAGTACTGTACAAGTTCTGTCAGTCCTCCCACGCATCCATCCTCACACATCGTCACATCGAATTCACCACGCGCAGGTCCCCGCCACTACATACAACTCTAGATGTGTGCCCATACACTGATTTGACCTTGCGCAACACGCTCTCGAGTCAAACCAACCGGAACGGGGACAGCATGAAGAGATAAAAAAGCCTGGTCAGTATCAGTGAAACCGCCGTCTCCGTTCGTGTCGCGAATTGCGCCGCTCTCTCTCCGATAAAATGCACCCTCCGGCCGAAAGAGGCTCGCACAGCCCAAGCAACATCAACCAGCAGCGATACCATGGGCTTGAAATATCTCGCGGCAGCAGCCGTAGCAGTGTGTTGTGCATCCCGTGCCTCGGCGTGCAGCTGTGTGCCGATTGGAGCCCTCTGCGACTCAATACAGAACACGGATGTCATTCTCCACGTCTCCGCTGTGTCATGGTGAGAGATTCTGGTTTGCAGCAGGTAAGCATAGATAGCATCGCCCGACAGGCATTCGGGATGTGGATTGGTGATGGGGAACGAGAGCGATCGTTTGCTACCTGGTGCGTCAGCGGCGAAGGGTTCGATACGGCGCGGGGCGCACGATCACCCGTCCACGTGGGCGTCACAGCGTTGAACAAGCTGCTCCCGATTCAAGGCTTCCTTCTCTTTTCCTCCGCTTTTTTGCGGATCCAACGGATAGAAACAACGATTGTGCCTTGTATGTATGCTACGGCATTCACACCAAACCCCTTCCTCCCTCCCTGCCGGTATAGTCCCAAGCCACCAGCATTCCAACCTCGCCAACTTCTCCCTGGTGTGTGGCTCAAGTCCTCTCGAGCAACGTTCCTGTTGTTTTTTGCCGAGAGCCTGTTGATTGGCGCTCAGCTGCTGCTTCAAATGCTCCAGCAACTTGCACACCACCTTGCGCAACTTTAAGGACGCACATGGTTTTCCGCGAAAAAAAGCGTCCGTAAAGCGGGGTTGCGTCCTTAAAATTCAGGGGACGATAGCTCACCATCCCCGAGACCAATAGAGGCATGCTATACCTCACACTACGCGTCGTTTGCTAAGGAAGGGAGTGGTACGAAAATTCAGCATCGCCGAGACGACTTGCAACCGTTTGTTGACGTCGAACATTTTTACAAAACTTCAAATGAGATTGTCAGTACACCAGTTTGTACTTGGCCAACTAATGCACTGCATAGCCGGCAGCGGAAGAAGAAGGAAAGTTCAAGTAGAAATATATTTATCTCATTCTTGTGAAACAACAAAAAAACGAGCGTATTTCAGGGTCGCACCGAGGAACAACAGTACATATCACTGTCCCGGCGGAGACCAAAAGCTACCCTGATGGCTTTTCCTTCCACATATCGCGAAGAGATCCCTAAACCTCCCCCCGCGGCTTGGCTCTACGGCTCTGTTGATTTTCATGAGTAAGCGAATGAACGGACTTCGAAAAAAGGTACTGCGTCTCACGGTACTCGCCACCCCTTCCCTTCGCGTACAACTACAGATAGCGCCCGCAGTTGAGAAAAATTCTGTTAGGATAAAAGGCTGAAGTTTGTACGAAAAATAAGTAATAAGGGCTTAAGAAACATAGCTCAATCTCGGCCACAACGTAAGAAACGCCCCAACAAGAAACATGATGGTGCGATACCCCCGTGACATCANCCCCCGCGCCCCTGCTGTTCACAGTGAGTGCTGTACTGTAGTACTGCCACACATCGCGGACAACCATATGCCCTCCGCTGTTGTACGGGTTTGATGGCACTCTCCACCACCTCTCATGAGGAACAAGAGAATCGGGAGGATGCGAAAGTCCAAAGGGAGAAATGGACGACTTGGGCCGGTACTTCGACCCAAAAGGAGGGATTGAGCCTCGAACCGGTTTTGACGTTTCTTAACTGCAGGATCGAGCATCTTCCAAGCGAGAGTTACCCTCGCCCTCGGTGAGGGACGAGGTTATGCACGACTTTTTTTTGGCAGCATCAGATGGACCGCCGGTAGATGGGAGGAATCTATCCATACCACCACCCAGTTGTAGCTGCAGCAGCAGACCGCTCGCTACTTCTGCTGTCTGTGCGTCGCTACTTCTGCACTCACTGTGGTGCGTGGTTCGTGCAAAGAGCGGCCCGCAGGCCCGCAGAACGCAAAAAAGGGGGGTATGCGGCAGAAAAAATGGGGTAGCCCCATTATCATATATTCTGCCGGGCCCCCCGGTGCTCAGCAAAACAAGCTTCCTTTAAGCGGGGACTTTCCTTAACGCGAGCGTCCTTAAAGCAGGGCTCACTGTATCATGATGCCATCAACCATCCATCACCCAAGAAGGAGTGGGGAAGTTTAGCGAACAGCACCCTAGGCACGCACACTCCCGACCGCGTTTGTGACCACTCGTTTGTTTTTTTAATTCGCGGCTCTCTCACTGCTGTGTAGTATATGACCCCATGAATAGCGGCGGCGGACGAGATCTGCGTGATCATTTGTTTTCTCAAGACCCAACGTATCCATCTCTAAATTATGAGCGTAGATAGATGTACATACATTTAATCATAGCGTCAGTGAAGGCTCTGTATATCCACGATTTCCCGAGCAGCACGCAGCGATATTCCATGTGGTGCTCCACGCATAAGACCACTTCCGATTCGAACCGAAATGTTCCGACAACGAGTCAGTCGCAGGCGATGCGACCGCACTTCTCACAAGTAGACTAAGTAAACCGAATTTTGCTATGTTGATGCCAGTAAACTTTAAAAAAAAATCTTTCCGTCGTGCGCAGATAGAACTGATCATTTTTGCGGACGCGGACACGCACATCTTCACGAGGTATCGAATGCTGAATGTGCTGTATCCTCACAGCAAGTGTATCGAGCCCAACGAGCACATCGCCCGCCACAGAACATCAAACAGCACAGCGTAGATATGGCGGGACAGATAGGTGCGGCAGGCGCACATCTCACCCGCCACAGGAAGTTGATGATCTCAAGCCTGCCGAACATCCTCGATGCGGAGGTAGCAGTCGTTGCATGATGATACTGCAACCACACAAGTTGCGTACCGTATGATATGTGGCAAGCAAGACGCAACAAATGCAGGCCGACACCAGAGGTCGAGTGAGCAAAACATGAATCGGGCAACCTCGTCCTGTGAGAACGCACAGAAGTAGTAGACCCTCAAGCCTTCAGAGGTTCTCTCGATCTACTTGTCCAAGAGCGTGAGCCATGCGACCGTCATCAACTCTCGACTGTGTGATGACGGTATGTGTGTGTCAGCAAGCGGCATGATCTCCGCTCTGTCTGCCAATCTCTCAGCGAGCAGATGGTATGCTTAGACCCACGCAACAACACAGCCCGCTAGCTATGTAGGAGCACATGGCACATGACCACATATACCCACGACCGTGCGGTGTAGGTCGTTCAGGCTCGGCCTCCGCTGTTTTCGATAGCTGGCCTGGATGTATGTGCGGGGAATACAGATGCTCGGGATATCCGTTCGAGGTGGTTGTTGTCTGTTCGCGACAAATTTTGGCAAGATTTATTTCGGAGGGACTTTTGATACCCCGAGCTGGTCGTTATGAGCCATATCTCGTCGCGCAAACTCTTTTTTTCTGATGTATTTTTCCACACCGCTTTTTGGCTCTGTTGGGAAGAGGCAAATGCTCTAGATGGGGGTTAGGGTTAGGGCTGGTCTTAACGCAGAGATCACGTCTCGATTTCACATTCACATTTGGTACAAGACCGCAAGATCCACATAACTCTCTTGATGATTGGGTGAAAAGTTATTCCACCGGTCTGTTCTTTAGGATTTGAAAACAGGATGGCCCAAACCCAAATCGGGTTTTGGGTGAACTCATTTAATCGAATCCCGATTTGGGTGAACCGCAACCAAAGTTGGCGATTCTACTGGCATGCACGGCGCGTGCTCACCTACCCCCATCCACACGAACTCCATCCACCACCGAGCACAGAGGAGAGAGAGAGCACAAAAAGTCAACCCAAAGGAAGGGTGACTGCGCATCGTTGTTGCACGTGACTGGCGCCGACAAAATACGTGTGTGGGGTGTGTTGGTCTGTGGGATATTCTTCCGTGGGTCGTCGAACCTCAAATGCACAGACGAATTGGTGGCTTCCCATCAGACGCGACTCGATTCAATGTCTCACATGGACAGACGTCGTTCCAGTACCGCACAGATGCTGCTGGGAGCGACCGCATGACACCATCTGATTAGCCGACGCCCACCCCTACCCGACCTTGACCGCCTTTCCACCGGGTGCACCCCATCTTGGCTACTCACCCCCCGGAGAGGTACCCGATTTCTCTCTCCACCACCCGAAAATCGCTGGGCTGTTCGGCCAAAACTCATACACGCACACCATCACGGGCCGGACCGCACACCGCTGGCCGCTCGTTTGTCGCCAATGAAAAAGCGGCGGAGGCAAGCAATATGTCTATGGTATTTGTTAGATGACGGGTCTCGCTTGTGTCGCATCTCGTGAGTGAGGTTTTCATCCAGGTCTTCTCGATCATTTGCACTAGCTAATTTGCACCGACCGCCTGCCGTTTCCCCCAAGCGAGAGTTCCACCGCCGGCGGTGGGTCGGCCTTCGCCCGCCGTCGGAACGTCCGAATTCGAGGGCAGGGCATTGCTGACGTGTGCTTGTTGTGCATGGGTTTTGGCCGAACAGCCCAGTCATTTTCGGGTAGGGGAAAGAAAAACCGGGTACCCCTCCGGGGAGTGAGTAGTCAAGATCGGATGCACCCGGTGGAAAGACGATTGAGGTTGGGTAGGGGCGGGCGTCGGCCAGTCAGATGGTGTCATGCGGTTGCTCCCAGCAGCATCTAAATAGTAGGGGTACCCGATGTCCGTGGTTGGACCGGGTGTACCCGATTCTGGCCGCTGGTTTTAAGTTTTAATAGCGGTGTCGGCGATTGGGATGTAGCAGAGGGGCCACACGTCCGCCATTTCGAGTGCATCGCCGTGCAAAGTTTGACACAACCTGTTGCGTTCGTTCCATTGATAACTTTTCTCTCGGTAAAACTATCCTTGCACCAAATTTCTCAGGAGAACAATGCATGATCCCCACCTAAACAGTTGCGAGTGAGAAGCTGCGCAGAAGGGATGGACGTACGCCACAGCGCTCTGCTAACCCTAACCCTTATCAAGAGCATTTGCCACTTCCCAAAAGAGGCGAAAAGAGGCGTGGATAATATACCAAGTATTATGTATTGAACTATGCAGTGGCATCGCGTGCGACTGACTCCTTATGGGAGCAATTCGGTTCGAATCGGAAGTGGTCTATTAGGTTACATTTCGCTGTATGTGACTGTTGGCATTGTGATCGGAAGAAGAGCATGGTCGAGGCGTGTCCGTCCCCAGCCTCTTCACCGCACGTATGTGCACCCCCTCTAAATCCTCGATTGAAACTGCTGTATAGCGGATGCAAGGCGGAACATTGAAGGTATGCATATGTGTCATGGAGCAGCAGAGAACTCTCGTGGATACAACGTGGGTGTTCGTTGTCACCTAGTTTTGAGTTTTTCACCGAGCATCGACATAACGGATAGCCTGTGTTTCCTGTGTTTGTACCTACTAGGACGATTACCACAAACACAGAGAGACTACCCGTTGGAGATATAGCCCACAGCAGTAGTCGTATCTTGGAGCAGCAGAGAGCCCGCGTGGACTCTCTGTGTTTGTCGGTGTGTTGTGATCCCAAGCCAAACGCACACGTGACCTGCGTGTTTCTTCTGTTAATATCTCTGTTATTACCATCGAGTGATGGATGCTTTTCCGTGTCGGACGGCTGCATGTGCTCCGAAAACACGCCCGTCGTGGACAAAAGCGAGATCAAGATGTGCACACACTGTGTACTCGGAAAAGTTTCGGCATGCGCAAAAACAATACAAAGCATCGGATCCACTCTGTCGTGTTCCTTTGCACCTCTCCATGCGAACACATGCAAATAAAATAATAAAAAAACTCCACACGCGTTAATCAATCTACGGTTAGGCTCATTTTTTTACAGGGATAACGAGGGGTGATATCTTCCATTGGAGCAAACGTTACATATCTGCCGTCCGTCCTCTTGGCAGGGTCGACGGCGAAGACATCAACTCCGACGACATCTACACGCTCGAGACCATCGAGGTCTTCAAGGCGGAGGACCCGGGTCCCAACGAGTACGACGAGGCCGGGAGTCAGTTTGAGATCACCACGGCGGGAAACTCGGGCCTCTGTGGGGTGTACATGGACGCGGATGGGTCGACAGAGTACCTTATCGACCTCAACCGACAGAGGTAGCCTTCTTTTTGATTTTGTCCTGAATGTACTGTTAGCGCCCTCACTGGAGAACTTGAAACTGATACTATACGGTACTGGAGTCGCTAGGTTGATAGTGCAGGTGCGATTAGGTATAGTGCCGGTGAAATCTGCTGACACAAGTTTAAGCTGGTACTAAAACCTTAAATATTTCTCGATCCTGAATAGTGCAGGTGCCCGCTATAGTGCAGGTAAGATCTCTGGAAAACCCCTCCACTATAGCGACCCCAGTACTGCTGTAGCCTCCAACAACTAGACTTTGAGCACTATTTGTGATCCCGGTTGAGAGCCCCTATCGAAAAGCTATGGCGGCCCATTCGTAGCATTACCCTGGGAACTAAGAGAACCCCAGCCTCGACCAAAACTAGAGTTCTTCCTGTAACAGAACCAATCCATCCCTATTCATAGAGCAGCGACCGAAGTCTCCGCGTTGCCGAGCTCTGTCGCGCGTTCTCTTTTACCCCAACCACACAATTGTATTTTTTTCTCTCTATTGTTTTTGTTGTTGTTGTTTTGTTACAATTGTTGTTGAGTTCTGTGGTGCGTACTCTTTTGCTCCAACCACACTGTCGCTGTCTCTCTCTATCGCTGTGGTTGTTTTTTGTTGAGTTCTGTGGCGCGTACTCGTTCGCTCCAACCTCCCTATCCCTCTCTCTCTCTCCGTCGTCGTTGTTGCCGTTGTTGATGTTGATATTGACGTTGGTGTTGATGTTGATATTGATATTGACGTTAATGTTGGTGTTGGTGTTGATGTTGATGTTGATGTTGATATTGACGTTCATGTTGGTGTTGATGTTGATGTTGATACTGACGTTAATGTTGATGTTGATATTGATGTTGACGTTCATGTTGGTGTTGATGTTGGTGTTGATGTTGATATTGACGTCAATGTTGATGTTGATATTGATGTTGACGTTATTGTTGGTGTTGATGTTGATGTTGATGTTGATGTTGACGTTGACGTTGATGTCGTTGCAGCGACGGAAGTCTCCGCGCGGCCGGTATCTGCGGCGTGTTTCGGGAGTGGGACGAGGCAGACCGGGCAGAGCTGGAGGAGGGCTGCGACGACTACGACCCCTGCAACGGGGAATGCGGCGAGTTTCAGGTGTGCCTGTGCAACAAAGACAACGGGGAGGAGTGCGAGAGACGCGCGTAGCCGCCCTTTTGCCGACCAACCAGACCAAATGGCGTGCGAAATATTCGCGAGAAACGCACGCCTTTTGCCGATTCGCATGCGGAAATTTCCGGGGGGGGGGGTTGCCTCTGTATCCCTCGCCACTGGGTTGCAGCTGTACCACCGTCGTCATCATCGATGACCTTATTAGTTGTGCGAGCCGCCATCCCCAACAGCCCGTCCAAGCGTTCATCCAGTCGCACCAAGGTCGTATTGCGAAGGGACAACGCAGACCGGGAGAGTCTCTACGACACTTCCATATCTGCTCGCCACTGACCGACCTTCTCGCAAATGCCGTAGCATTCTTGCTACCGACCAGCTTGCACCAGCACCAAATACTAACACCATGGCCGAAAACCAGTGAGTCATCCATCCGGCAACAATCAACCGGTGTTTTTTTTCCATTCTGCGGCGGCCCTTCTCGCTAATGCTGCAACACTCTGCGAGTACCAACACCATCATCGCCGAAGCAACCCATCCAGCAACAGCACTCAACCGTCTTTTTTACCCATTCCGCGAGACCCCTTACGAACCTACGGGACACCCCCGTGGTAAAGCAACGCACCTTCCACTGTGTTGATACGCACACCACGGAGCCCCCCTCATTTACAACAACCATGCAGGTGTGCTCCCGGAGCTACTCCTCCTATTCGGACGCCTCGTACATCTGCTCGGACACGTGCGACCCTAGCCCCTGCTCAGAAGGCGAGGAGTGCACCCTTACTTACCCCGTCTGCTCGGCGTCGGACGTGTGCGGCCCCGTGGCCGATTGCGGGGAGGGGGACGGGACCCCGGTGAGTCGAGGAAGCGAGCCCTCGCTGTGGTTGTTTTTTGTTACTAGCATCGACCGACCGCGCTAGCCGGCTGACCAATCAAAAGACGTCAGTCTCAGTACAGTTGAAATATTCGAAATCATTCTGAAGGGTACCATGATCTGCAATCCCGTGAGGGGGCGTCATGGGAGAGGCTAGGCTACTCTACGAGTTTGAAAAAGGTTGAGGCGAAAAGGTTAACCGGGAACCGAGAAGAAAGGTTAGGCCGACAATATAAAACCGAAGAAACCGAAAAATTTCAAAGCCGAAAACGTGAAACCGAAAAGGATCAAAAGGCCTACTCAGGCAAAATTTCCAGGAATTTTTTCAGGAATAGTTTCTTGCGTGCAGATACACGGAGGCATTTATACCTATGAAGAACCGGATCGGGGAAGGAGCAAGGGCAAAAGTAAGCCTGTGTGCTCCTTTCACCGATTCGGGTTTTTGACAGAAGGATCTGGCACGCGCACCGCGGGCGGTGAAACATCACTGAGAACGCTAGCAAAGCCTGCCACCCTCACGTCCAGGTCTATTGCGGACATAATCCAGCGGCAGAAGCCGGGTTCAGCGCGTTCTTGGTCCAAACTGAGACATTGCATGGCCCTCTCGTCTTCAACTGATGGTGTTGTTGATGTTCGGGATTTTTCTCAGTCACACATGACAGACACCGAAATAGTAGAACGAACACTGCAGCAGCGCCAAGGCCTCCAACGCGCTGATTCCTTCGGCTCTGCTGTCTATGTGACACTCACCCCCGGCGCTGTGCTGTTTCGTGGGTATTGGGGGCTCGAGTGCTGCTCAAGAAGGTGTGTGAAGCATGTGTGCCACCCCGGGCAAAATGCCGTTTGAAAAGATGCGGTGAGATAGCCTGTTTTTGGTCGGAGGCATCAACAATACAAATCCACGGCATCACGCAGCACTAGAACAACAGGGCGTCCGACACGCTAATTATTCCGGATGGGTCATGTATTCGATGCTGACATGCTACCCTCAGCGCCGCTGCCACCCTATGATGGTTGACCTCGTCTACCTTTGGACAGGTGGTAGTCAAAGAAGGGGTCGCAACGGTGAAAAATGAGCCGGCAACCGAAGAAATTGAAACAACATCCAGTCCGCGCTGTGCCTGTTCCTGAAAACAGCAGGCCGGGTGGACGGGGCCTTGTTTAGTGTGCTGTCCTTGGTGCCGGGTGCTGCTGTTTCTGCTTTCACCGCTACTGTATGGTGAGCAAAACCCAGTCAACCTGCTGTATGTCGACCAAAGCGTGTGTTCAGTGCAGGAACCGTGCCTTTGCGACGACACCACAATTTGAACAAGCGGAGAGGGGCCGGTTTCTTTTCACCGTGCCGTATTTTCTATCGGGGAAATTTCCCCGCTAATTGGAACGGGCCTACACCGAAAACGTGAAACCGAAAACGTGAAACCGAAAACGTGAGACCGAAAACAAGAAACCGAGAACGCGAAACACCGAAAAGGATCGAAACGTATACGCCGAAAAGGTTAAACCGAACAAATTAAACCGAAAAGGACCGAAAAGTACAAGCCGGAAAGGTTAAGCCGAACAAATTAAACCGAAACCGAAAAGGTTCAGCCGACAACATAAACCGTAAAAACCGCAATAGTCAAGCCGATACCATGGAACCGAAGAGGCTAAGCCGAACAGATTGAACCGAACAAGACGAAAAGTTAACCCGAAAACATGAAACCGAGAACGTGAAACCGGAAAGGTGTAGCTAGGGCCGAAAAAGTTAAGCCGAACAGATTGAAACGAAACCGACAAGGTTCAGCCGAACAGATTAACCGAATGAAACGGAAAAGTTAAGCCGAAACATGAACCCGAAAAGGTCAAGCCGAAAACGTAAACCCGAACACGTGGAACCGAAAAGGTTAAACCGCAAGGGACCGAAAAACTTTAGCCGAAAACAACGGTTAGATCAACCGAAAGAACCGAAAACGTTGAGCCGGAACGGTTGAGCCGAAAAGACCGAGAAGGTTAAGCCGAAAAGATTACACCGAAACCGAAAAAGAAGGTTAAGCCGATAAAACCCGAAAAGCCGAAATAGTAAAGCCGGAAAGGATAAGCTGAAACGTGAAACCGAAAACGTAAAACCGAAAACAAATGTGAAAGAAACCGAAAGGGACCGAAAATGAAAAGCCGAAAAGATTAAACTGAAAAATACGAACAAAGTTAAGCCGACAACGTGAAAGAAACCGAAAAGGTTCAGCCCAAAAGGATAAACCTTAAAAATGAAACCGAAAGCGCGAAAGCGAAAACGTTCAGCCGAACAGATTAACCAAGAAAAACGGAATGGTTTAAGCCGAGACGATGAAACCGCAATAGTTAAGCCGAACAGATTCAACGGTAAAACCCAAAATAGTTGAGCCGAAAACCTGGAACCGAAAAGCAAACGCCGAACAGGATAAACCGAGAACGTGAAACCGAAATGGTTTAACAGAACAGGACCGAAAAGGTTCAGCGGATAGATTAGCCGAAACAACCACAATATTTAAGCCGAAACCATAAACCGAAATCTTAAGCCGACCAGATTAAACCGAAAAAAACGAAATAGTTCAGCCGAAAACATGAAACCGAAAAGGATAAGCCGAACACGTGAAACCGAGAATGTGAAACCGAAGAGGTTTAACCGAAAAGGGTCGAAAAACTTAAGCCGAACAGATCAGACCGAAACCGATAAGGTTCAGCCGAAAAGATTTGCCGAAAAAACGGCAATAGTTCAGCCGGAACATAAAACCGAAATAGGTTAAGCCGAAAACATGAAATGAAAACGTGAAACCGAAAATGGAAACCGAAAAGGACTGAAAAACATAAGCCGAAATTGTTAAGCGGAAAAGAAAGGTTAAACAAACCGAAAAAACGGAAAAGGTTGAGCCGAAAATGTGAAATCGAAAAGGTTGAGCGGAAAAGGTTACACCGCAAGAGGCCGACAAGGTTTAGCCGAAAAGATTGAAAATACAAAACGCAATAGTTAAGCCGAAAACATGAAACCGAAAAGGATAAGCCGAAAAGGATAAACCGAACACATGAACCTAGAACGTGAAACCGAAAAGGTTTTAACGGAAAAGGACCGACAAGTTATACCGAACAGAGTACAACGAAACCTACAAGGTTCAGCCGAACAGATAAACCGGAAAAAACTGAAAAGTTGAGCCGAAAACATGAAACCAAAGGTTAAGGCCTATTATTAACGACCACAAAAACACGGAAATATCACGGAAGCGTGCTTTCTTGCATTTTATGGAGGCATTTCCCCCCCGATCCGTGAAAGTAGCGAGCAGGTTTTTGTGGGGGCTTGCTGCCTTCAGGGATCCGGGGAATTTGACACAACCAGGGTCGGCCAGGGGCGGGCAGGCGCCACCGCGGACGCTGTAACATCACTGAGAACGCTCGCCAAGACCTGCCAGACTCACGTCCAGATCTGTTGTGGAGACGGACAAGCAGCAGAAGCCGCGTTCAGTCCGTTTTTGGTCCAAAACTAGACATTGCGTGGTGTTCTAGTCTTCAACTGTTGCTGCTGTTGGTGCCGGGGAATTTTTTTCAATCACACATAGCAAACTCGGAAACAGTAGAACGAGTACAGCAGCAGCACCAAGACCTCCAACGCGCTGATTCCTTCGGTTCGGCTGTCTATATGATACCATCTCCCGGCGCCGTGCTGCTTCGTGGGTATTGGGTGCTTGGCTGCTGCTCAATAAGCTGTGTGAGGGACGTGTGCCTCCTCACCAAAATGCCGTTGGAAAAAATGTGGCGAGATGTTCTGTTTTTGGTCGGACACGTCAACATCACTCCACGGCACCACGCAGCAGAAGAGCAGCAGGGCCTCCGACACGCTAATTCTTTCGGATTGGCCATCTATATGATGCTGGCTGGCCGTCAGCGCCGCTGCCGCCCTATGATTGTTGAGCTTGTCTACCTTTGGGCAGGTAGTGGTCAAAGATGGGAGTCGCAACCGTGGAAAATGAGCTCGCAAACTGAAGAAATCGCAAGCAACGCCCAGGTTGCGACACTCTGCCCTGCGCCTGTTGTTGCTGAAAACTGAAAACAGCAGGCCGGGTGGATAGGATCTCTCTAAGTGTGCTGTCTTCTGTGTCGGGTGCTGCTCATTGCGCTTTTACCGCTGCCCTATGGTGAGCAACACTAACTCAACCTGTTGTGTGCCGAGCAAAGCGTGTATTCAGGGAAGGAAACGTACGTTTTGCGATGACATCACGAATAGAACAAGCGACAAAGAGCCGGGTTTTCTTGTCACCGTTCCGTGGAAAATTTCACTACTTTTCCGAAGCGTTAATAACCAGCCTAAGCCGAAAAGGACACACCGAAAACGTGAAACCGAAAACGTGAAATCGAAAACGTGAAATCGAAAAGGTTAAGCCGAAACGCGAAACCCAAACGTGTAACTGAAAACAAACTTGAACCTGAAAACGTGAAACGGGAAAGGACCGAAAAGGTTGTGCCGAAAAACCGAAAGTGTTAAGCCGAAGAGATTAAACCGAAAAGAACGAAAAAAATTAAGCCGAAAACGTTAAATCGAAAAAGTCAAGCCGAAAAGGATGAGCCGAAAACGTGAAATCGAAAACTTGAAACCACAAAGGTCAACCGAAAAGGACTGAAAAGAACAAAAGGTAAATAAATAAACCAAAACCGAAAAGCAAGGTTGAGCCGAAAATATAAGCCGAAAGCGTGAAATGGAAAACGTCAAAGCCGAAAGGATAAACCGAAACGTGAAACCGAAAACGGGGAACCGAAAAGGTCAAACCGAAAAAGACCGACAAGGATAAACCGATAGCGTGAAACCGAAAAGATAAAACCGAAACCGAAAAGGTTCAACCGAAAAGGATAAGCCGAAAAGGTTAAGCCGAAACGAAACGGTTATTAACATACCGAAAAAAACGAATGTTAAGCCGAAAACGTGAAACCGAAAATATTACTTAAACCGAAACCGAAAACATATAGCCATCCCACGGTTACACCCTGAGTTCGATTCTCCGTACGTGTACCATGAAACAGAGAAGGCTTTATCATTGATCCGGTCATGCATAACTCACCTGGGCATTACAACACAGTGCACTACAATATACAAGGATCCCCTGCGGGAGTTAATAGGTGATTTGCCTCCCGGGGGCGACACAAGATGGCCAATCAATGTCATCGCGGTCGCATGGTTTGCGGTCGTAACGTTCGGTAGGTACCGGTTTGCGTGCAACTCGCATACTTCATATTAATTTGCCTGGAATCTACATCATGTGCGGGGTTTTGCATTTTCTCCCGCCGTGACTTTTCGCTTGTGCGCGATGTGCTTTTCTGTAGGCTAGCGCTGTCTTTGCTGCAGGTCCTACTGCTGTAATCCGCTGCGCTTGGTCACTTCTCTCCTTGTGTGATCGTGTTTCCCATGGTCTGTGGGACTTTTTCACGCATACACCAAAAACGGATCAAAGAAACGCTCAACGTGCCCAAGAACAGTCACAGACGTAGACTGCTACAATACAGTACCACAACCTCTATATTTGCGTTTTCGATTTTTCGGAATTCAAATTTAAATGACCGCTGCCAGAGTTGTGCGAGAGGACTTCTGTGTCGCGTGGTGTGTTCCCATGAGCAACATCAAGAGCCTTGGTCCCCGCTGCGGGGGTGCGCATGCGCCAGTTGCTGTGTCGTGAGTGTGTACATAACAATCACAGCGGCTGTGTGGGCGCGTGGCGCGTGGCGCGGGACAAAAAAAGGTTCTGTTTTCAGTTTTCATCCCGCTTCAGTTTCCATCCCGCTCGAAGAGGCTTTTTATGGTTCGGATTCCCCAAGCCCTGAAAAAAGAGCTAGTTCCAGCGACTTAAGGCGGCCCTAATGCGCACCACCGGTTTCTCGCGAGCGCCACACGTACCGGGTAATGTACCGACGGGTCCTCTGCGAGCCATCTAGAAGAAAGTGCGAGAAAAAACGCTGTCCCAGCAGAGAAAAATGAACGCGAGCACAAAAAAAATGAAATCCTACATATAGAACGCGCCCGCAATGAAGAAAAATTCTGTTCAGACAAATTGGGTCAACTTTTAATGAAAAATAAGAAAACAGGGCGAAGAAACTCAGCTCAATCTCGACCACAAGATAAGAAACGTCCCAATAAGAAACATGATCGCGCGATACCCCCCAGATACAAGCAACAAGAGGGGTTGCTGGGGGAGCGTGTCCAATAAGGAACGTCCCACTGATGTTGCTGCTGCTGCCATGCTCCCAACCCCTACCTAGCTCATGTAATATTGAGTGGAAGGGGGGGGGGGGGGGG